GGGGGGGGGTGGAGGGGAGGAGAAAAATGAAGTCATTAACAAACAAAAATATTGTATAAGGCTATGAATATATTAAATCATTTAACAAAATTTCCAGTTACCTTGGTTCAAATCAAGACTTCATCTTCCAACAGTACTAATACACAGATGCCTATGCAATTGCATACTCTAGTACTGGCTTCCTATACACCTTGCTAGCTATCTGATACGATGCTGTGTCATCAGCTGTGTCCACAGACAGTTAACTAAGAATACTTCACGGTGACACAAAACCACTTAGTATATATTTTAATAATGTATACAGGTAATGCTCTATTTACATCTTCATGATTCACACTTTAGATTTATAACCATGTGAAAAGACAAAGCAAGCAAGTCGGAAAAAAACTCACCTTTCCCTGTGCTTCTTTTAACTGTTTTTCTGCTGCAGCTTGTTTGACATTAGCTTCTTTAACCATTTTGTGTGCTTCCTATAAAAAATGTTGAGCTAGTGTAAATGCATCAAGTTTACAAGATCCAGTAAATAAATAAAAAACCCCAAAACACTAAGGACATACTTTTGCTTCACAGAGACTACTCGTGAATAGTAAGTTGTGCACAATCTGAAATTAAATAGTTACGTACCAAAAAATACCTACAAATCCATTATTTGGATTCATCACTGGCTCACCAAGTTTCTTCTCCTTGGTCCTGAGCCCAGATTCAGAAATTCAGCAACTCCACCCACCCCCCTCCAGCAGGAACAATACCCATCATGAACACCAGGCTCCAGTCACACTTCAGTGGCTGACAAGTCAAGTTCCTTGATCCCCAAGAGAAAGACTCAACCAGTAGCAATGAAAGCAACATGGGCACAGTAACACATTCAAAAGAACTTCTCCCTTCTTCTAGCCAGAATAACCAGTTTTAGTCATCTGTAAATTTCTGCATGAAGGAACTGGCCAAACAACTATGAAGTCTAAACGCTTACCATCAATAAAACAGACAAAGCAACAGCTTAAAAATAGTTTATGGATGAATAAACATTTCTTTAGTAGAACAGAAAAAGCGCTAAAAACCAATCCAAGTGAAAAACAAGGCTAAGCCAATAAAGAAGAAAGTGTAAAAGGACTGGGAATTTTTTTTAAACATCCTTTTACCTCATACCTCGAAGCCTTTTGTCTGCATAAGGTATTTGTTTAGGCTCTGATCCAGCAATTTGCGCCTGTGATCAAATTACTGTTCTTACTTGGTACTTACTGAAGGCAACAAAGACTGAAAGATCAGGGCCACCAACTAAATTACTTGGGATAGGATCCTTCTCATATCTGTAAAGCGCCTAGCACGTATCTGGACGCTATATAAATAAAACAAAAAAGTTCATACATCATCATACCAAAAGATCTGGCTCCCACTGGCATACAACACAGCTATATAACATGGGTTTGTAAAATTCTCTAACAACAGACACATGCAGGAATGGGAACATACACATTTATACAATGTGTACAAATACATTTAACATTGACCATGCAGTTTCTGCTTAAGTGATGCACCTTCGAATGCAAAGCATGTTACAGTGCTATTACAATGTAATAACGTAATAGATACACCCAGCTGTGTAAAACAAGTCTTCATCCTCCATTAGGATGCATTAATATAATCTTGAGCATATCCACTTATAGGGTCACTGAAATTAGTGGGATTCAGAATAGAATGCGAACTCAAGGACTGTACATACCAGTGCAAAAAAATCAAGAAAACTCACTGTGTTTTGTTAGGCCCCCTTAGTGAAATCAAATCACAAAAATTCAAGTGACATGCCCACAACAGTTCTTAATCATTAAAACTCAACAATTATTACTAATACACTATATTTCAAACATAACTTTAACAAACTGATACACTGTTGTAAGTTATGAAGTGCCATTAATGTAAAATTTCACTGTTAATTTTTTTTTTGTTTCTCTACAGTTAAAATACTGCCCAATGTTTTCCTCCCCCACTCAACATAGACAAGTATTTATGCCCAAAGGTACCTTTCCAGTCTCCCATTTATTCTCTACACACAGGAACCACTTTAAAGTAAATCTGCCCTACCGAGATGATGAAATAAAATGTTGCCAACCCGTAGAGCTGTTTGTAATTTGACTTTTGAATGCCAGTATTTTCAAGGTTTTAATAGCACTTTTATACCAATACAACATCATAGGTTTAAACACTGTTACTAAAATATACCTAATGTTGTATCTTTATGCATATGCTGAAAACCAATACTTACGATTTGGTAAACACACAAATCATCTCCCGATTCTGAAATTTATTGTGACAGTTATGGGTATCACAACTCAGCCGCTAGGCATTCCTATATATATTCCTATGATAAAATGAGAACTGCTCCTGCTTCAAGTATGGATTTAAGATTTTTTTTGTGTAATACAAGCTCACAATCTTTGCTGCCACTACTGCCACCTTCTTGAACGAAAAGATCCCACTTAAAGTTCAGGTTTCTCACTTGATAACCAGGTATTCCACCCTGGTGCATCACTCAGTACTAACATTTGTTTTCAAGTTTGTGGGAGTAGCATGCTGCCAGACCCAAAATTCAAAAGCTGAAAGCATGGTTAAGTTATGTACCTGCTACCTCCATTGATCTGGAACGACATTATTTTTTTATTTAGTCACCATGGCAACCTCAAATTTAGCTCTTATCTAGATAGCCTTGTTGTCAGACAGAGAAGCTGTCTCAAAATAGTTATGCCAAAAAATAAGCCTAAATAGTTTTAAGCTTTCTGATGTATTTTCCTTATTATCTTCGTTTTGTGTCTAGGCATACTGACAAGCTGAACAAGGTCTCTCATCTAAGTGAAAACTCTATTCCTTGCTCTTAAGCCTCTACTTCAACACACCCAGGTCTTCAGGACACAAATCCCTTTATAAGCTTATTGCAGAAAAATTCAGCATATAATATACTGATTCTACATAAAACATCTGTCTCAGCTTCCTTTAAGTATATCACATCGAAGACTCCAACAAACCTCAAACAGACTAGCTGTAAGTTCTTCCAATTCCTGTCCAAGTTGATCTCGCACTTTAGAAAGCCTTTCACATTCTTCATCTTTTAACTTCAGCTCCTATGGAAAATTGAAAGTTATTTATTCTGACTTAATAGTAATTTGGCCTTTTAAAGCTAATACCACAGAGAAGGGGGAGAAAAAGAAAAAAAATAGAGGAATGTAAAACCTTTGCTAAACAAAGCCTTTCAAAATATTAATCTAAACACTAGAAACAATTAAATTAATGCTGTATATAAATAGCTATTTCCTCCTGCTATACAGAAATATACCAGGCCAATCTAAAGTATCTCTATGCCAGACATCAGCTTTTCCAAAATACTCTGAAGTAAAAAAATAAAAAAACAAACAAAAAAACCACACACAACACTTTTAGTCTTCTATACTTTAAGGAAAAAGTCACTTAAAATATAGATCAACTTAATTATTGGGACAGACAGAATACCAGTTCTGTTTACCCACTTCTTAACAGACGCTTAAAGAAAGTAATCCATTTAAAAAAAAAATAGTAATTCAAAAAGCTTTGTCTCTAGACAATCCACAATTCTAAAAGAATCTTACTATAGTCTCCTGCATATCTCCTTACAACTAACACAATTCCAAAATCGTATCGTAATTACAACCTTGCTCTTGTTTACACAGATATATAAATCAAATTAAAACATCTTAACGAAATTCAAAATGTTATTTGTCTACACCACTAAAAATTGAGTGAAGAAGGCCTGACCCTACCACTTTTACAGTAAGATCTGTTTTACAGATTTGGCAGTATAAGGGTTACACATGCCCGATCTCATCTGTATTATCCCAAGTCTGAGGGAAAACTGGGGTAATTTGCAGAGCAGTGCAAAATGTTAGACAAGGAATTGGAAAGAAGAGTTCCTCTCCCCTTCCCCAAACATTAAACTCTGGAATTTCTCGCAGGAAGGAGAAGGCTGGAGAGAAAAAGGAAAAGAAAACCAGCAGATAGCCCATTCTAACCTTTCAAGCAGTTTTTTGGCCATACCTCCCCTCCCATCCCCATCTAGTTCCTCCTCCTTTTCTTTTCCCCTGCCAAGCTAGCTATTACACTACCATCCCTCCTGAAATACAGGACCCAAGCCTGTCACTGGCACGTTCAAGACTCCAAATGCAACATAGCGATGATTTGCTTTGAAAACCTCCAGAAACCAGTAAAGAAAACAGCTACCTTCAGAAACCTCTGGGAGGCCAGTCACTAGAGTCATAGAAAGGCCCAAATGGCAGCTTCCCTGTGCTTCTGGGAGCTGGTTAGCATTTCTCCCAAAATCTTCACAATTGAGGATTGTTGTACACAACAATGTGGGAAACCACATCTTGCCATGTAGCACGCTGATATTCTGTCTTGCTCTCAATTTCTGCCATGAAACTGGCAATACATTTTCCTCTAAGATGAAGGGTCCTGTTTGACTTCAGCTCCTGCATTTTACAAGTGTTTAAGGACTGTTCCAGACCCATTTAGTATCAAAGGCGTTATTTCTACCCTCTTTTATTTGGTTTTAACTTTGGACATTTTGATTGATTTTTAGTCTAGTTTGCTTGCTGTTTTGACTTTTTGCTTTCCATATGCAACCTTTTAACTATTTTGAAAGGTACCACTTAAATGATGGTTCTTTTCCAAACACGGTATATCTCAAATAGTACTCAACTCTTACTTACTAGCTGCTATTCTGCATACAGTGGCTTATTTCTCAGGGGAAAAAAAAGCAGGAAAATAGCTACAAATGGAGGGAAGAGAGAGAAAAAGGAATACAGAAAGCCAAAGAGGAAAAAAAAGGTTAAAGAAAGGGGAGACAAAATTTAAATTAATTTTGTATTGGTTTACAGTATTTCCCATATAAAGTATGGTTCTTAATAAGAAAATAGAAGCATTTTGCATCCGAATCTTTCAAGTTTCACGTGTTCCTATAAATGGAGAGAATACATCAATACATCTCCTTTGCTTTACTTCACTGATTTCTAAGGAAAATGCTAGATAAACATCAATACATCTTAAAAACCAGTTATATTAATATGCAGGTCAACAGTTATCAAACTCACAATGAAGACAGAATTACCCCAGGTTCACTTCTGGGCTACCACTATAAATACACTATTTTAAGTAAGATGGTTACAGTTTTGCCTGCAACTGGAAAGATTAGGGGGGTTTAGATTAAAATTTAAGCAAACAAGTAAAGCTACTTAATGAAAACAAAAAGTAGACATCACCAGGCAGTCTGCTACACATGGCTGCTTAGCTAGACTTGTCAAACACTGGGCAAGTTTCCATGACGTGATTCAGGAGGAGCGTAATATAACACATTCTTTTGCCAAGCAAGTTTAATAGCTCAGGTTTTTTAAGCAGGGCAGAAATAAAGAGTGCCCAAAGCAAAAAGCTTAGCAGTTATTAGAAACACTAATACTGCTTGTGTCTTAAAGGCATTACTGGAGACTTCCCAGCCATACAGAGGCAGAAAAGACAACTGTGTGTGCTGCACTAACCATCCATGCTGCAGTCCTTCCTGCATTACTGTTCTGAAGAAGTTAACTACATGAAGATGAGCTATTATGAAGCACAAACACGTACAGTTACCAAAGTAGGTAATAAGAAAATTTAACTTGCATGCAAAAAAACCTTAAAAGATTAAAAAAAAAAACTACATCAAAGAGTCATATTATTGCTTATTTCACTTTGATCTTCACAGACTACAAGGTGGGTCTTTAGAAAGAACCAGTGAGAGAGAAGGAATACAGATTACTGCTTCAAAACCATTCATATTTTAAATTCTAGAAAGAAAATCATCCTGCATCTAGTTCAGCAATTTAACCAAGTCAGACTTAGATGCAGAAGATCAAGGAAAAACAAAAGATACCACCTAAAATCAGAACTGTGGAACACTGATGAATTCTGAAGTTGTCAAAAAAGTTTGTATTAACATTAGAATAAATTTCTATTTGACCGGTCTTCACTCAGCACCCACGTTAAACAAGCTATGTAAAAATTAGTCCATTGCAACCACATTTACAAGGGAGTTTAATGTGACAGAAGGTCCAGAATATCTTTTCAGAGATAAGAGCATTTCAAAAATAATTGAATTATCTTATGGTGTGGGTGAAGATGCTTCTGTTTTGCTTGCATGTGATCTTCTACTTGCCTGAGAAAATTTCTATGCCTACGATACACTACAACAGCATCAGTCAGAGGGTATGGAAACTGAAAACTTTCATCACTCAAAGACAGAAAGGAAATGCTAAAACACCTTCAGGGAACCAACCCATCTTTAACAATCAGAAGCCAGCGGCCTTACAATTCAACCGCAATTTTGTTCTAGAAAAGCTTGAAAGTATACTCTTCACTGGAGTTCTGTGATGGTATATTATTCTGGAACATCGTCATTTTTATTGTTTGTAAACTTACAAGCAAATGACAACAGAAAATTTAAAATTATGAATGTACTGTATAGCACTACCGGAATTCCTGGATAGTTACTATGAATCAATTTAGTCATTAATCCATGCAGAGTTTTAAGATGTCATGTTTTACTGTGGAAAAATAAAGAGATTTAACCGCCAGTGTTAACCTGTGCAGAAACACCATAATAATGTCAATAGCCTCTGTTACAGTGGATTCTTTGACAATGCAGGCAGAACAATGGGGGGGGGGGGCGGAATCTACTTCAAATCCTGTATCAGATCTTGTGTATTAAAGACAAGAGATCAAATTGTAACACTCTGTTTCTGAAATAAAGAAAGCATACAAAAATTTAAGCCTCTGAAAGAAAAATCTAGATCTGAGGATCAGGTTCTTAAACTACACTGACATTTAAAATACCACATTCTATACTGTCACCTGTTTCACAAGAATCACTGTATCAGTGTGGAAAAAATTCAATTTCAGGGAAATATCAGTAATTCAAATTTCTACTACAAGAAGTCAAACATGGTTTTACTTGTTACCAACAAGGCTACAGATCTTATTCTAAAGACCCTGGGAAGCACGGAATTCATTCTCAAACTAAATACCGTATTTGCAACCAACATCTCTGGTAGACTGCTCTTTCCTCATCAGAGGAGGGGACTAACCACCAGTGACTGATGAACTTATCAACACAGAAACCTAAGTTTCCCTCTGCAGTCATGGATGACAGTCTGATTGATGAGGAAGTAACTTCAGGGCCACATGATACAGAAATTCAAGGAAAACATGACTATGAACTGCCACAGCTTAGAAACTACAAGCTAGCTATCCAAAATACATGCAACATGCTGGTTAATTAAGACAAAAAGCAAAGAAAGGTATTCCTTTGCGAAGACTCCACTAAACGTGCATATCAAGAAATACCATATATCAAAATACCATCGTTATTCTCTCAGGTGTTATCTAAGTGTGGTTGATCTACCTTCAAGAACCACAGTGACACAGCTCAATCCAAACATGGCAGAAAAAATGCAAATGCATAGAGACATGAGGAGATAAGGTCCCAGGCTTTGAATCACTAAGTCTTCTCAATTTTTCTGCCACTGCTTTAAAAGGGGAGAAAAACAAGAAGAAAGGTTCAAATCATCTAAAGCAAGGGCTCTTCAGTTCCACTTTACAGAATATAGCCAGAAATTAAGTCTCCAGTGAAAAAATAAGCAAAAATGACGTGAATAGTCTCAACAAAGTGTAAAAAACCCATGTCATTTTAATTAAGGGGGCATTTTACGGCAAAAGTATGTCCAATCTTATACACTCCATTAGTATAGAATGCTGCCCTGCTGTTACCTCTGACCCAACCTTTCTCCCAATCCTATGACATTATTTGGTGCTGCAACTAATATGGATTGAAGTAGAAAGTCTATTTCCTCTTGTCAAGAAACAAATTTTTGAAAGAGTACTTTTTTTTTTTGCCAGCAATGCTGTTCCATTTGAGAAATGAAGTCTGTAGTCTTAAGAAATACAAGGCATACACAAAGGAGGAAAAAAAAAGGAATAAATCTTTATTCTATTCCTGAATAATTTAAGAACCATACTTAAATATCTAACAATTGCACGCCATACTATACTCTCTAATATAAAAAACTGAAAGCATACTAAGAAAAATGTTTCCCTCCAAGTAGATGCATGAAAAAAAGTTAGATAGTGGATTCCTAAGCTTCAAAATTCCTATTTCCTTTCTAGTTCCTTTTCTGATCACAACTGTAACAAATTCAAATCAACCTTTAATGCATATTACAATAGCATAGAGTTTGGGTAAGAAATTTGGAACAAATGAGAAATGCAAGATAGCACATTTGTGTTTACTTTGTTCACCCCTGCAAAGCCTGTAAAGTTTCCAGGCTCAATGAGCTTACAAAATTCAAGTGCAAATAGTAATTCTAATTTTTCTCACTGCTCCTAGTAAACAGCACAGACAGAGAATTTAAAACCACTAAGCAATAAACAACTAGCTATTCACAGGCACTACCTATTAATTATATCCCTACAGGTTTTTAAGCTGAGTACTCACTAACAAAAGTGAATATACTTGGAAATAAAAGTTTAAAGACTGCATGACATACTGAATATCACGGAGCGGGCACAGCCCTACGTGAACAGCCATGACTTCTGGAAGAAAGCAATGAGGAGATGAACTAGGAATAGAAAAAAAACTAGTCCACATATAAGAAGTAGAAGAAAGTAGGTATTACAGAAGGGATAGAGTTTAATGTTGTACAGTCTGTAAAGATTCCTGCTATGATTTCTACGTTACCGAGCAATTCTGAAACAGTGCAAATATTGCCTACTTGTCATCTTAAATAAGTTATCCATCCAGTATAACACTAGTAAGAATCAACCTGATGGGTTGAGAATCAGCAAGAACTTTGACATCAACAGTCTCAAGTTAGTGCTGAATCGCTTTTGTAAAAGACAACCCAAAAGGTTTGAAAATACATAAAAAGCAGTTAATATGTCCTAGCAGCCTTACTGCCATTTCCTTAAAAACCTTAACCAATTTTGGAGTGAAATAGGAAACATTTCAATCTTTAAAGAGACAAAGTGGTATACACTGGAATAAGATTTTCAGACTATTCCAAGGTAACAGTGGCAGATCTGAGATGTGGTTTTCAAGTTTGTTACCTGTACTTTGGTATACTGTCAGAAGCTGGAAGAGCTTTTCTAAAGTTTAAACTTTAATTTGTTCTTACTTTCTAGGGTTCCAAGTTTAAGTGCTAGGATTATACATTCACATGCAAGGTCATCAAGCTTAGCTCAGGTTAACGTTCCCTTTCAGTGGTCAAATGCTATGCAAACTAACACATTAGCAAAGGAAGCAACTACTCAGCAATAAACAATCAACAGAAGTTATGTCAAAATCCATATTCAAGATTCACATTAACAAGGGTAAATGCAACTATGACAGAAACGATTACATTCAAGAAGATGATGTAACAGAGGAAAACAAGTTCAAACACAAGATAAGATGAGCTTAAATCTAAACAGGAGTGGACTCATGTAGAGGAGAGGAAAGGGCACAGATACAAAGAGCACAAAAATCTACTCGAAAGTTTAAGCACAGCGGGATGTTATAATGATAAATAATGCGTTTGCATTTATATAGCACCATCTATCCAAACAAGACAAAGCGCTTTACAAATATTAATGACTTAAGCCACAGTGTCTTTCAAAGGTATCCATATTCAATTTGAAGTGTGGTGTAACAGTACTCTAAAGAACACCAGTGACATCTTTATTGCTTCTTTCTATGCAGGTATTCCCCTATGAAACATCATAAGTACCCCTGCTCTACAGCATTTCTATATTCCATGACACATGCTATACTTTTATACTCTAGAATAAAGAAGACTCAAGAGGTATATAATCAGCATCTATAAATACTTACACAGTAACAATGGAATGACAGAAAATTACTCTTTTTCTCAAATGTCAGAATGAAAGAATGGTCTACATTTCAAAGAAAAAGTATGTTTAACCACATATTGCAGCAAAAGCTTTCCATGGTTAAGTAGCAGCAGCACTAGAAAAAAAACACTATCAAGGAATAATTCTAAGACATTAGCATTGCACACATTCAGAATAACTTTACATAAAATAATTAGATCCTAATAATTCTGTAAGAAAAGAACAGACTTAGACTGCACCTTCTGGCCCATCTATCATTCTGCAATATTAGAACCACTTTGAAGAGAAAAAGCGGGAGGAGACAAGACAATGAGGCTTACCCTCTGAGCTTTTGCAAGTTCTTCTTTCAATCTTTCATAGCCCTTTTCTCTTACTTCCAGTACAGATGGGCTCCGTAAGTGAGATAAACTGTCTGTGCTCAACCCAAAAATATCTTCATTTCCTTCAGCAACATCTGCTACTGTAGCACCCTGCAAAAACTCTCTCTCTGTGTTATTGCTCTCCTTTCTGGAATTATTGTGACTGAGTGACCCACCCTGGGGTCCAGAGGTAGAACAAAGTACTGCGTCGGTAACATTGATGCTGTAAAGAGAGTGATATATTTTTTTATTTATATAAGAACATTAAGAAGTATTTTAGAAATGGCAGTAGTGGTGTTGAATGTACCATTATGAACACAATTTAATATTACAACATTGTAAGTAATATTAAAATTATATCTTGAGTAAAGCAAGCAGTTTATATGCAACAAACATCGGGAATTTAAATAAAAAGATACACACAACTTACCTGACACCTGATGCTTCTCCACAATTCAGTTGTCTGGGAGATGAATAAACAGGTTGCGTGGGAAGGTCAGAAACATTTAATGCATTGGGTTGGATTGGTGTGGAGGACACAACAGAAGGATGTGGTCGGTAGATAACACTGGGTGAGGTAGTTTGTTCCTGAGTCCCTGGCTCATTTACTCCAAGAAGATCTGGAGTAGTGGGCGAAGCAAGATTCACTTCATGAAAGCCTTCCAAGGGATCACTGGCCATAATAAAAGCCTCATCATATGAAACCCTGAATTAAATAATCACATTATCAGAATGAAAACAGGAAATATTTAATTATATCTGACAACTATTGAATTAAAAAAACACCCAGTCAAGTGTGTTCAGGATAATTCATGACATAATGGAAACTGTGGACTAATTTTGCAAAAGTATCAACTTCAACCACCAAAAATATTTTTCCATACATTGTATTGTTGAGACCGGACGATCTAATACCCGACTCCTCATCTAAATGGGATGATGAAATCAAGAACAAGGTCTATATCATAAAAGAAAGTAATCTTTAATATAGCCTAGAGCTGTTTTGTATCAAAACACAAATATATTACATTCGTGAAAGACAGGGAGACCTGGGAACCAATATGAAAAAAACCCCAAACTTAAACCCTAAAGCTTCCACTTTTAATCTCAATGAAGCAAATAGAGACAGAAATCAGTGAACCTTTAAATAAATTACAGTCCATAGCAGTTTTGGTTAAATTACACATCTGATCTTGTCACCATTCACTGAAATGATAGAACTAGCCCATAAGACTTCTCATGAAGTATGATGATGTATATTTAATACGTCACATGATTAAGTGATGATGACAATTTTAAGTATCACACCAAAAACATATTACAGGTAAAAGTGTACTACGAATTGGCAATTCAACTGACAGTATCTTCTCATTTTATTTTCATTTTTTAATTCTGTATTTTTTCATAAGATCAACAGAAAACAAGTACAAGACATGAATTTTACAAGCCCCAGTAGAAAGCTTCTATTTTCCAGCAGTTTATCAGAAATAACAAAAATTTTTGCATAATTCAAAACTATAAATTGGAAGTAGCATGGAGAAATTTGTGAAGGAATTACTTCACTGCAAAAAATTTTCCATGTTATATAAAGAAGAGAGAAAACTAAGGCTTCATAAGGTACTTAACATGCAAAAAAAGAACTATAGCATGTAAAGGAAATAATACATTGCATTTTACAGAGAAGTCTGCTCGGATCTTACAACTGAAAAGACAAGGCAGAGAGAAGTTCTAGAAAGTTGATGGTCATAGCCGTGAAGAGATGATGCCATCTACTTACATGTACGTCCAGTTCATTAGCTAGAAACAGAAAATACCAAGAATGGAATCCCCAAATTAGCATATGCAGCAATGTTGTAGTTACATCAATATTTTCTGGTCATCTTAAACTCAAAGAGCACTGTTCAAAACTGGTTTGCATCTCAAGTATTGTACTAAGTGTGTATACACCTGTCTTAAGTTGCTTTACTACAGGTATATGTGGAAGAAATTCATTTGTTCTGACAGCAAGAATATGTTATTATTTTTGCTCTGCCTCTGTTAATTGCTCCCACAAAAAAATCAACCACCTCTAAGAAACTTCACAGACTTAAGGGACAAAAAGGACTTTACAGGAATGAAAGGGATGTGTTTTGGGTTTGGGTTGGTTTTTTTTTTTTTCCTCTTCTGCAGAAATTTGTTTTATTTTGAACTATCAACAGCAGTTGCAAAAACATGATTCACACAGAAAAACACTCACAGTTTTGTGCTTTGGAGCTTTTCTATTATAAGACACAGATGAACAGCTGATTTTTTAGTTTAAGTTTGAAAAACATTATTGTTTGTTTTCCCTGTTCTTAACTAGTATAAGCATTCTAATTACATGCTCTACATGACGATAAAGCCTGTTGAGTCAACAAATTTAAATGAAGGAACTGTCAGAGTTACAGGACATTTCTTCAAGGTTACATTTCAAAAGTGTTTTCCTTTCTACAGTACAAGAATTACATACCATTATTTTACATTTAATAAGCTAAAATTTTGCCATCTTGAAAAAAGAGAATTGCATGAACAGTCCTTTTAAGTTCATCAGCCCAGTTGAAAAATATCCACCTCGCCAGTCTCAAAGTCAGGCTCATATCTACACTTCACTTTCATCGTTCCCACCACTCTCCTCTGTTTTGACCACCAAGAAAGCCAAACCCAATACTACTATATTGGCAACGCCGCCAAAATGTCTCTTCACATTCCCAATTCTCTGGATTCCACTCTTCACAATTAACAGAAGATGCAGGCTTCTGAAAAGGGATGTGGAAAGGCTGCCTGGATGCCTTGCCTTTTCTATGCCTACAGCACCTAGGAAAGTGCACCAAAAACCACCCCACAGAAGCAAAGACTGAGAACATATCTGAGAGGAAAAAAGGAACAACACTTCTGCCACATCTTCCCTTCTGTTGACTAATTTCAAGTTTGAAAGACATGTGCATAGTTCCACTGAAAATTCAGTCTGCCCTGATGTTCAGTAGTGGTACCATAGTATTTCGCATCACCAGTACCACTGATTGTTTTCAGCTGCATACCCCATTGGGCTGAAGTTTTCTATGAAATTTTTTTTCTGCCAAACTGGTTTTTTTAAAAAATACTATTTAGCCATTTCCAAGGAAAAAAGCTCAGGAAAAACTTTTCAGGTTTTAATGTATTTTACTATTTCTGTACAAATCTTAAGGCTATCTGTTTGGAACAAACACCTTAAGTAAATCAAGTAAGCAACAGGCTCAGGGATGCACTGTTCCAGATCTTTATGATAATTCAGCTACATTATGAAGTGCAGATAGTTATGCTGGTTCAGACAGATTAGAATTATTAGAAGCCTGCTTATTATCTTCAATATGTGCAAATGCATTTCTCACTTCCCCTCCAGATCATTATATCAATCTATGGTAAGCAAAGTAGTACATTTGTAAAAAAAAAAAAGAAAAAAATTTTTTTTTAAATCTACCCTACCTACATACTCCCATAAGAAATGTTCCACTTAACTCCCTTCCTACAGCTTTTCCACCTAACCTGCCTATATCGTGCAGTGTTTTTAACAAGAAAAAGAAAAAAACCAAACACACAAACACCAAAACCCAAAGATTATGGAATTTTATTTACAAGACTATCACTCTGCTTATACATTAAATATCAATCTTAGCCTAAACAGACAGGAGAGATTTATGAGTAAATAAATCCATGCATGTCTTCTCAGTTATCAAAAAAACCAAAAGCTCTTTCTGATACAGTAAGTAAAAAAGTTATACAAGTTATTCCCGGCAGAGCTGAAAATAAAGGCCCTCAGCTAAACTTTTCCCACAACCTGTCAAATGGGCACTCGTAAGCATACCATCTGTGTGAAACTTTCCATTCACACCTTTTTTTTCCTTCCCAGCATTACTTCTCAGTGAGCAGGCAGAAGCTGAGCACACCACCCATCCAAGACAAAGCAACCCATATTAAATATCTCAGTTTCAAGACTCACCAACACCATTACGTTGTTACTGACATCAGCTGAACACACGTTACTCATTAATGAAACCAAATGTACATGCAAAAAGCTAGGCGGCCCTAAAGATAAAAGCTCTCTTTTGGGAAAGAACTCTTCAAAGTAACGGTAAACAAAAGAAGGAAAAAAAGACACATTAAATTTCAGTGTCATTACAGGCTTGGCTAAGGCTGGGCGGTGTCATATTATTGACTATGGCAGCAATGGACAGCCTTGCTCTGAAGGAACATGAAGCGCATGGTAAAGCGGAGAGCTTTACTAGGAGCCAAGCCGATAGTATGTAAAAAACCACAGTGTTGACACAGCACTCTTCAGTAGCAATTCTGCTACTGTGAACAAAAGCTGATATTCTGACATTTCAGGGCAGCACACTTATTAAACAAAATCATGAATTTTCTTAATACTTTTTCTACCATATTAATATGTGGTAAAAGCTTGGAACAGCATTAGTGCCTACCAAATAGGTGATTATTTTTGTCTTAGTTGATAGTATGCAATTTGGATGACGTACAAAATTCAAGTACGGTAATAAGTCAGGAAGAAACAACAAAATAAATTAATTCTCTTATGCTTTCATCTGGAAAGAATGCAAATTTGGTGGAAGCTGTCAAAATGTTGCACCTTTTTATTACCTCTCCACTGCCACACTTGCACTGCTGACTACCCACATAATTTCATGGGGAAACCATGCTCAAATCTGTTATTTTATCTGGTATTAAACTGAAACATACAACAAAGAAATCAGTTTAACAATGGTCTGTTTAACATGTTTCTATAGCTTCTAACAGGAATCAAGAACTATGAACATTTTCAACAGCAGTCAAATCAAAATTCTTAATCTAATTTTCCTGTTATTACTCTAAGAGTAGTTCAGCTACTTGTCTGAATCAAAGCAGTCAATAACTAAATACTAAAAAGCTCCATGAAAAGCAGCAATTTATTGTGGCTTGCTTTCTTTCCGGGGAAAAAAAGTAGTATTGAAAACCACCTACTACAAACTCTGGAATTTGTCTTTCACGCATTGCTTTTAAATAAAAGACAGGTTGAAGATGACAACTTTGAACAACCTCCTAATTGTTATATCCCATTTAAAAATTATGTCAGCACCAAACATTTCACAGAGCAAAAATCTCATTTTTGGCTTTAATAGTAAAGACTACCATCACAACAGAACGGTTACCTGCTCAAGTGAAAAAAATCACGTAAGGAAAAAGTAGTTACTGTTTCTAGACAGTTGTAAATTCTAGCTAGCATTTACCAAAAAAGGTGCATATTAGCTATAGTGTTTTAGTCTTCACACAGCAGGCCTTTCAAAATGTAATAAAGATTCAAGGACTTCATTTATTAGACTCCAACGTCTGCTTCAGTTAATTTGGGAGAGGAGAGGAAAGTGGATTTTTTTTGGTAACATTTCCTCAAGAGGACTGACATTAGCCCACCACTGGGCTTACATTCTTCTCAATGGGTTTAAAAAAAAAGTTTTGAAATATTTGGCATTATACAGTCTGGAATGTAATATGTTTTAAGCTCTAAAGAACTTCGTAAGGAATTAGAGTGGTGGACTAATAAATACCTTTTAAAGAAGCAGTCTAATGAAGTACTGCTACTCTATACTTATCAGATGCAAGCAGGCAATTTAAAAAGTAAAATTGTTGTAAAGCGTATATAGACATTAATTTAAGGTT